TCTCTGTCTGTCTCTGTCTATCTGTCGCACCCCCCCTCTCTCTCTCTCTCATTCTCTCTTTCTCTCTCTCTCTCTCTCTCTCTCTCTCTCTCTCTCTCTCTCTCTCTCTTTTTTTTAAAAAGCCCTGATTACAACCAGAAAAGACAGCCCAAGGTATATCTACTCACTCCGAGATCTGCACACAGGGCGACATGCGACTGCCCCCATCCAGCATCCAACTGTTCCGATATCCGGCCGTCTGCAGAGCCAGGTGGAAGTGCCGGGTCGGTGACTTCTGCTCCACGGACTCACTTCCGGCAGGCGCCGTCTGCTGCAGATTTTCCCGCCCTGGGGCGCCACCATCCGGCGCGGGCGGGATCTCCACCATCTGGATACAGTGAGGCTTCCTTCGGGGAGGTGTTGTGTCCGTGGATAACGACGATGATGTAGATGATGACGATGATGGAGCTGGTGGTGGTGTCGTTGCCGATGACGATGATGGTAGAGACGAAGAGGGGGATGTGGCGTTGGTAGAGGCTGCTGTTGTAACAACGACCGTAGGTGAGGGGGGAGGAGGGGTTGTTGGCGTCGTCGGCAGAGCTTCTGGCCGTTTCAATGAAGTTGGCTTTGTAGTTGTTGCTGTGGTAGCTGACGTACGCGCCAGGGAGGGAGTTGACGGGTGGCCAACAGGGGGCAATGAGACGGACTTGGGTCGAACGGTCAAATGTCCGGACTTGTAACACTGACCACTGAAGAAAAGATGAGGGAAAAAAATGAATGAAAGCCTGATTTTCTCATACACATAGATGGCTAACGTGTGTTAATTTGCAGAGTGACTATAAGGTAAAAAGGTAGCATTGTGAGTGCCACATTTCGACTTACAATAGCACCCTTCAACCACCTAAGTCTTCATACCGTAAGCAGGACAGAAAAAGAAACGCGTTATTAAATGATTAATACACGTACACACAGAATGTATGATAATAGAACAAAGATAAAATATAATAATAGAGAATAATATAATAAACTAATTTTAGAAATAATAAATAAATATAAAACGAATGCTGAGAAGAAAAGTTTTTGTTTTTTTGGTGAAAACAAAAAGAAAGTGTTTTTAAAAATAAAACAAACAAAATAACATTTTAAAAACCGGGTAAACGGTATCCCTGCTAACGGGCACGCACTGTCTATAAGTATAAGACATTCCTAGCGACACACAAGCTTCCGTGGCACACACACTGTGTCCGTTCTCACCGCCGCCCGGTGCAGAACACCAGGACAATCCCAAACACAACACCCGCTTATCCTCAAACACGTCGTCTGTCAAACAATTCGCGCCTGAAACTGATGTCTGGCGCTATGGTCACACGTTATTGGGACCAACAACAAGCATAGCAAGTTCACTGACACGGATCTGGGATTTGCCCAGTGCAGAAAAACAGCTACCTCTTTGTTGTTATTGAGGAATATAACAAGCCTTGTTCGGGGGAAAGAAGTTCATTTGCTAAAATTAGCTGTAACGGAAAACACGAAAATGTCTACGACAGTTCCGGTACATATTACTTGACGTGTTCGTCTGAACTCACATACCGTTCACACCATAATTAGCGCATCCCAGAGCATCGTGCAACCGTGCAACCCACTCAGTGAAAGAAGAGAAGTATTTCCTTCCGATATGCTAGGGCCATAGACCGGGTTTTTCCTCCCTCGGTGGGTTATATTCGTAAAGGGCAAGCTGTTTTCAGCACTAAGAATAAACCAGCATTATAGTACTGGTTGTATACAAGGTGAATCAAAATTACGTAAATACTAGGGTGAGATAAATAATTATTTATTCAGAACATTCTGAACAGTCCCAGCCTAATCACCAGCATGATGATAAATACACCCAAAATCCCCCACCGATCAATAGTGCAGTTATGTGACTTGACACACATACCGCGGGGAAATACTAAGATGACATCTTGTATTCTCTTCTTGAGCTCATCGACGTCTCCAACATTTTTGCTCCCATACTAGATTCAAGAGTTAAACATAATTTTCCTTTGACTTCTGCAGCGAACGTCCCTCACCCCAAACGAAACAATTTAGCTCACCAAAGGGGCGGGCTGCTCTGATCTAGCCTGTCAGTTTATCGCTTACTACGGTATATTATCCCAGCAGAAATACGTGCACAGTTAAGACTCACGATAGACCACATGCATTATTTCACAGGTGGGGACATCCAGCATAACCACTTGATCATAGGCACCTTGAGCAAACTGTTAGCTCAGTTGGTACCAAGCTGGGATACGGAGAGGACTACACTGTTTCAAATCCCCAATGGGGTACTCACAATGAGGTTATTGTAATGTATTTTGGGCACTCAGAACTTTTGTAGACTTTTAAAGGCTCCCCGCCAATCTAGCTCGGTGCTGTAGAATTTAACTTCGAAGGTCCCGCCTCATAAATAACCTTACAGAGTTGAAAGGGGCGTTAACCATTACATCGGCCAATGACAGGCGTCTCTGGTTGGCGACGGCCTGAAAATAAATGGGGCCAAGATAACCCAACTTTTTCCCCATTTGAAGAAGGATAAAACTATTACTAAAACATCTCACTCTCTCTCTGTCTCCCTCTCTCTCTCTCTCTCTCTCTCTCTCTCTCTCTCTCTCTCTCGAGCAATTTAACCTTTCGTGACGTACAACATGTTACAAAATAATTAATTAAAATATAGGCTTAAGATTTTTTTAAAAATCCTCTCAACATGTCATTAAGAAATGATTAAATGAGCGTGTGTTTTATATGAAAAAAAACTAGAATTTTGACCAGGTACGATTTTTTTCTTTTTGGCCTTAATTTCATCCCATTGCTCAAAAATAGCTTCGCCGACAACTAAGACCTTTCTTCAGGCGCACATACATATTATTTGTCCCCTCAATTCTTATTGCAAGCTGTTGTCATAGAAGCAGGTTCAAGGATGTCTCAATCAACTATCCAGTTATTATATTATCATTATTATTATTACACGTTTTATCAATAAGGAGCTCCCCGAAATGACAAGTCTTTTTCATCAGCTTTACATCAGCATGATTTATCTAGTTACATCCGCATCTAAACTGTGGCGGCCCACTTACTGACAAGGAACAATATCCTTCCTCTTGCTATCAACATCATCACGATAAACTATTATCAACAGCCATTTTGAGTACGGGTCAAAGATTGCACACTACAAGATGATTCACTCCTCTGTTTGAGA